ACCAGTAGATGAGCGCCTGTCTAACCAATTATTTGATAAGTAGTAAGTCCAAGACTTAGGTTTACGTGTCTGAGGTATTGCATTTAGGATCAGACTCGAAATGGCTAGTTTGATTATGTTCAAATATCATATAGATAACTCTAGGGGACTCATTGAGTAGTTGAAGTGCTCGCAGCTGCGTCATGCGGCAACAGAAATCTCAGCGCAAAATGAGGCTGGCATTTTAGTTACTACCTATGTCGGGGTACAGAATTCAGAAATGTATAAAGCAGAAAAGCTCGTCGAAAAATTCGAGGTGGACTCGTGAATATCCAAGCTGGCTACACCTTTCCGGCGGGCCTTTGTTACTGCAGCAGCTATGACCTACTTATAAAAGAACTTGCTAACTTTTGTTGGTTATTCCAGTTCAAAGGATAACCGGTAAGCTTCTTAAAGACTCCCCCAGACGCATAAGACGACCGACAATCTCCGGCTCTAATGGCGAGCGAGGGCCACGAAAATTCTACTCCCTGCCCTACATGCAGGGTATTTCCCAAGCGGTCGCACGACAATTAAATTAGTTTGGAATTTATCTTACCCCTAAGCCAGCGTCATTTTTCAGTCCAACACAATCCCGAGTAAAATATCCCATACACAAACATCAGAAGCCTAATGTCATCTGGCGCATTCCGTGCATTAACTGTTGTTGTACTTATGTTGGTCAGGCAGGCGAACGACTTGGGACGCATATTAACGAATATATTAGCTATCCGCCGACGTGTTCCCTTATGAATCGTGTTAGCGCACGCCCTTGAGTACGACTTGCTGCAACTGGGACAAAGCTGAAGTGTTTGCCATGGCAAACACCAAGCAGACGCGAGAATTTCTCGAAACTTGGCACTTCTGCACAAGCAACATCAACCGCCGCGTCCACCTGGAAGCATGCTAGGAAGGTCTGTGTGCGCGGTCCACTAACTTAATTCCACCTTAAAACACCAACCACTTATTCGTGCTCGGCCGAATAAAACTTTTCCGATTCTGCATCTCTCCGACACGTGATCCACGATCGAAACCATGACATCCCTCATTACACTTCCTGCAGCTATCGCAAAACGATCCGCTTCCTCCTTACCCTCCTGAATCTCAGCCCTTCGACGTAACCTCTATTTCCAAACCCTCACTCTAACTTGCCATTTCGCCAGCTGGCGGGTTGGTGTAAACTGCTTGAAAATTCACGAGTACACCTTCCAAAAATAATGTGCGAACTCATAATTATACTAACCTCAATTTCATGGACGCAAAACAAAATTATCTGTTCTCTGAACATATATAATTAAAAAGTTTCCGCTTTTTATTTATTTTATTTTATATTATAACATGGAACAACGAGGAGTTTTTTTCCGCGGCGTGTAATAGCTTAGGAAATTCCTTAGATATCAACAAACGTTGAATTTGGTCCTCATTCCGCCCCTTGTTGCTCCCAGTATACTGAGCTGAACCGAAATCTTTTCTAGTAAAGAAAATGTTGCACTCAATTAATAAAATAAAACATCTTAAATGTGTGTTAAATCACCAAATCAAATTTTTCTCTTCACAGTTCATCAAACATGCAATCTACTGTATACGCAGAAGCTAGTACTGAAAATTGTTGGCCTTGTTAAATTACGAGCATATGGAAGCTATAGAAGTCTGGTTGTAGGTGGCACTAAGTCACTTCCACTGTCCTTTTAGTTGCCTAGGCTTTCGGCCCCGTAGAGCTGGCCAGCTGCCGAGTCTATGAAAGAAGGTACCCATGAGCAATGTTTCTAGGCCAACAAAGCCGAATGCAGGGTGCGAGGGACGGGAAGCCGGCGGCCACGGCTGGGTGAGAGACGCGTTACTTGACAAACCGTGGTCTCACGGAGCAGTAGCCGTGTACGTTCTTGGGTGAAGCCGTCTGGCCGCGTGGGTGTAACACGTGCTTGCGCGAGGGCCGTATATGAATAGATCTGCACGTGACATCTAAATCGCTGTATCTTATTGTCCACCTGCCCGTACATATATTCAAGAGAGCACAGTTGTGGTTTCCTTTCAAGGGGTATGGGTTGTGACAGTGACCTTGCGGATAATTAATGCGCCTATACGTGTTTTTCTAGTATGCGGAGCTTATTTTTTTACATTTTTAAGGCGTACGGGCTTGAATTGCACTGAGGGACCATGAGTTTGCAGAAAATCACGGATTTATTCTGTGAACTGTTGATTAGTTGAAGATTTTTGAAAAATTCCTGATTCGAAAGATATTTTAGCACAGTTATTTAAAGAAAATAGGAAACT